ACATAAATAGTCAGTTTGTAGCTCAGGCTCAAAGTGGAGCATTTAGCAGCTTTAGTGCCAATTATTTCCAATAGAGTAAGTAAAGCCCATGTGTAAATAAGCAACAGTTTTCTATCAAGTTCACCACTTAAAGGATGATAACTTTTGCCACTGCCCCTAGGTTGCATGGAAAAAAAACAAGTAACATTTAGTTAAAGTAGCAATAATAAGGCTACTTGAAGCCCTGCATTTACAATTATAAATGCAAAACAGATTGACTCCTATTGAAGTGTTATTTTATTATAATCCCTGTGGATGCATGGACACATATATTCAGGTCAGAAGGGATGAAATCAGGTCTAAGCAGGATATGGTTGAAGTAGTAACAGCGGGACATGTAAGTGGTAAGAAAGTGAGATCTCTGGAAATGGTGAGAAAAAGGAAAAAGGGAAAGGAAGCAACTGTGACAGAAACAAGAGAGCACAGCATGGAAGAAAGAGCAAGAGAGAGACGTGAATTTAATGACACTGCTGAGCGATGGTCACTCTTCACAGTGGGATATCTCTGTTGCCAGAAAGAGACTGGGACAGAGAGGAGAAAAGAGGGAGGATAGATGGAGAAATGGCAGTGCACAGTCAGGAAGAATGGGCATCCTAAAGTTGGGTCCACTTCACAGCAGCACAACACAGTCGTTAGAGAGGGGTAATGGATAAGAGGGAGTCATAAAGAGAGGAAGAGGGGGAGAGAAAGAGAAGAAGAGAGCAGGAAAATGATTATAACGATGGTTTCCCAGCAGTATGGCACAGCAGAAGCAGAAATAATGATGGAGGGAAAGACACAGAGGAAGGTAGAGAGGAAATGGGGAGTGATGAAGTTGAACGCAACTCACATTGAGAAAACTCAGCGGTAAGTTAAAGGAATTGGAAAATGTAGAGAACTGAGGAAAGGAAGGAGGTAGGACATTTTCTTTTCCTATATGGTGCCACAACAAGGCAGAGAACTCACAGCTTTTCTCTCTTACACAGTCAAGCTCACATGTATATACAAATATATAAGCACAGCAGAGGCTCTTGGGAGAAAAGAGGGGCAGAGTGTGAGATAGTTAGAGAAAAGAGAGAGCAGAGGAGAGAAATATTTATGTGTTGATTTTGGCCTATGGCCCTAATTTTGTGGTTGTGTGTGCTTATTTCCAATGTCCAATGCATAGGTGTGTGACACACACACACACACACACACACACACACACACACACACACACACACACACACACACACACACACACACACACACACACACACACACACACACACACACACACACACACACACACACAGTCAGTCAGTCTGATATTCACATGTCTCTCTTCCTCCCTACTAGTCGGGACTTTAATTAGGGGAGAACACCAGAAATGGAGTTGGAGAGCGCGTTTGTGAAAGGAGACACATATTCAGTGCGACACCAGAGTTTTGCTTTTGACTATTATGGTTTAGCTCAAACAACGAAGGCAAAACTTAGAGCAGTCAAGACAGGGCATAGGGGAAGTGGAGGATGAAGAGACAGATAGAGGGAGACAGGGAGGTAACGAAACAGGAAATGGGATGGAGGAACGAGGTCATGTGTTGACTCTCACAAACTGTCTCTTTAAGTTTAATTTTTCTCTTCTTTAACAAGTCAACCTTTCAGAACTTTCTCTCCATCCTACACAGGTTAGACATCAGCAGATATGCCCCCTCAGCTTCTGTCGCCTGTTTGCACATTACAGTTCAGTCCATTTGATAACTGTGGCCACTTAACTTTTCTTCTCTCTCGGAGTGCAGCTTTGCAAAAAAACACACTATAAAAGAAGCATTGTGGTGGCTATGTTGGATTTCAGATGTAATCTGTTGCAGATGCTCTTGCGGTGGAACAAGCTGACCGAACAACACCTGAGGGCACCTCAGACATTGAGCTTTCTGTGTAAAATGGCCCAGAAACTTTTCTCTGCAGTCAGATGTTTTTTTCTTGAAACTGATAAATGATCCCTTTACTGACTTTACCGCTATGTCTTGGCTCTCTTTGGTATTAACTGTTACCTTGTTATATTTACAGTATATCCTTATAGCACTTTGAGATTTGATTTTAATGAAAATGATCACAAATAAAGCGGGAAATTACATGGCCTTCTCAATGTACAAGTCAATTTAATTTGCCTTTTTTATTCCATTTCTAAAATGCATGACAATTATGTTTAATCCACTTTAGAGGCTGTATTTTAAGCGGCATAATCATCTGAGACCATGAAATACACTTTCATTCCACGCCATGTATGAAATTGTCCATCTCACAAAGGCTTTTTTGCTCTTAAGCATATTCTCCAGCTCCTGCTGGTTTACAATCTTTCACGACACTGAATGGAGTAGACACTTTCTTATCAGCACTTGCGCTCAGCTTGTTGAAGCTTATATCTGAAGTAGTGCAACATTCCTCTGACCACTCTCTCTACACCTCATCCAAACAGCTGCAGGCAGTTTCCGTTTTCTGTCCTTCTGAATTCTTGCATGTCACCGTCCTCATGCTCTCCCTCCACTGACTGCCTATGGTGGTTCACTTCAAATCAAAAACCTGGTGTATACAAGACTGCAAATGAGTGCACATTCCACATCCCTTCGAGCCATGGTGTGTCCGTGCACTACATACCAGCCAGTCGATGCACTCTGCTAATGTTGTCTGCTTGGCTCTCCTAATATTGTGACCCAGTAATCACTCATCTCAGCCTTGACTCTTCTCCCTCCTGGCTCTGAAAAATATTGGAATGACCTTCCCACCTCAGCCAGCGCCAAAGAGTAATCCAACTGAAGCTGAAAATTAATCTCCTTAGGAAACATTTCACATCCTCTTAAATCGTACCCTCTCTCCCACACCTTCCTTTCTACATGCACTACTTACATACTTCATTCTGTCTCCAGGTATTATTTAACTTAGCCTACAAATTATTTCCCCGTATTCCTGCATCTGTGACTTTCTGTTTTTACTGGTGAAATACCCAAATCACATTTCTTTGGCAGTAATGCAGATATGGTCTCCTTTCAAAAGAGGACAGGCTGAGTGCAACCAAACCAAAATCAAGCAAGTAGATGGTCCCTAAGTCTGGCCACTTTCACTGCAGGTGAAACAACTAATCACACCCTGTTGCCAATACTAATGTTGGCATAGACTATGATGAAGCAGTAACAGCAGATGATGTCAGATGCAGTCCTTCACATTGTGTGTCTTTACCTCTTCTTCTCTCCCTTTCTCTTTTCTCTCTCCCTCTCCTTGAGACCAATTAGACATAGTTTATGGCTTGCTGATATTTTCCCCTCTACTCCCATTCCTTCTCTCCTCTTCCTCTGTGTCTCTCCCTCTATTGGCCTTTACATGCACACCTCAGACACTGCCCACCTGAGACACTGCCCCCCCCCCCACACACACCCATCAAGAGACATATGGATGAAGGAGAATAAGGAGAAAAAAAGAAAGAATGACGAATAGAGGATAGAGGGACGGAAGGACACAATCGTAGTTGAGGTTAAGTACAATATAAGTGGGAGAAAGAGACACGGATAGCAATGGAAAGGAAAATGAGACAGGAGAAAGTAAGTATGATCCCGTTGCTCCTCCCTCTTCTGGCCCTCTCTCCTTCTGACACAGCACAGAGCAACAGTCTGGCGTCATGTTGGACAATTCAGATAAATTATTCCTGGGATGAAAGTAAACCACCTACCAGGTGACTTAAAGCTAGTGAAGGTCTGCCCACTTAGCCTCGTGGCCGAAGTCTGTTATTGCTCAGCTAATTTTCTGAGTGAGATTTTTGGCTGACCAAATCACAAACAAATGACCTGTGGCAAAAGGACAGCTCTGCTCACATGAACATGGATACATATCACACACACGCTGTAAAGAATAAACCCAACATAGACACACACAATGGACAAACCCATGCCTAAAAAAAAGGAAAACCTTTAGTTCCCTCTCTCCTTTTTTCTCCCTAATGTTACCATGACTAAAATGTTAATTACAGCTAAAAAGAGAAATGATTGCAAATATCAAACAGCAATTAGCATGTATCATCATTATTACCACCATTAGCTGCAGCAAAAGATGGAGGGTTATTTACCAAACAGTGTTATGCTCATCAGCTGCTTATTCAGGATCTGAAATATTTTACAGGAAGAAAATAATATCCTCCCAATTTCCATAATTACTGTAGTTCCATTTTTTTTTTAACTATTGCGAGTCTGTACAAGGCACAGTGTGATTATTGTAAAATTGCAGGTATGTATTTATTATACTACAAACCCCGTACACATCTGCACAGGCATGAACACAAGAATGACCCTATACATATAATCATTTTCTGCTTTTTTCTTTCATTATATACTAAATAGTTACCAGTTAGAATAGGGTCGAAATGCCAATTATATATAATAAAACAAGATTCCACTGCCCTCTCCTCTCCCTATTATGGCTCTATTCCTGCACTGATGACATTTAAATCCTGAGTATGGTCGGACGGATTCTGGAAAATCTTCAGGTGGAAAACCAGGTAAAACCTCTCCTCCTTTCTGTTCTCATTTGACTACTGTGCTCAAACATGAAAGGTCAATCCATACTCATGACAGTTTTTATCACATTTCTGACATTAGATTACTTTAGCAATCAGCCCTTTTCTTCTATCCTTCCCTCCTCTCCCAGCATCTGTCTATCTTTTACCTTTGAGATGGACCCTGCAAGCTTGTTATTTAAGTACACATCCCTGTGGCATAATATTGAAGAACAACACTTCTGTGCACCTTCTGGTTGCCAGCATGGTGTAAAATTCTTAAAGTATGAAAATATACAACTCATTTTTGGAACTTTATTAAAAAGCTATAAAAGAATGAGCAATGGCACATTCGATAAATGATCAAGTTACTTTTCGTAACCCATTAAAAAAAATAAAAAAAGACTTGCAGCGTGAATTATGCTCATTTTTAAGATTTTATGTAGCATTTCTTCCTTACCTTGTTGTACGAAGGAGCCGTACACGAACCACATGGAGTTGTACAGCGTTGTCGGTGACACAGAGCCCATGGGTAGCCGGGGAGGGTTGAGCCAGTTGAGCAGGTACACCAGGATGCCAACGAGGAGCACGGTGCCCGCAATGCACGCCCACAGTGACAGGTCGAAGGGCGCCAGGCAGGCAAACATGTCCACAGTGCGTTCAGCTTTGCGCAGCAGAACGCCCACTGAATAATCCATGTAGCGTGTGGTGAAGTCCACGACGCTCTCTCGCTCAGGCGTGATGGTCAGGGCAGAAAGTCCCACATCTGCTCGCTGCAAGAGGCGGAGGTGAAAAGAGGAGTTTGTAGTATCAACACTGAAAATGTGTAGGTGAGGAGTATTTTTCTGCAAAATCAAATTTTTTTACAGAACTTTGAGAATGAGTAGTCTTTGCATATTGCTGGGAGATGAATGAACCGTTCTAAATAGTTGGGTCCTGAGAAGGGAAAGGAGACTGCCCCTCTTACATTTTTGAGAAACAACCAAAGGCATTGGTTGAAATAAGCCATGACCAGCTCTAAATTCTAAGTTATAGTATTATTATTTTTTAAATCCATTATTTTAATTCTGATATAAAACGATTCAACAGCTGCAGGGCAAGCAGGAGGCTGAAGGGCATTCAGTGTGAAGGGGGGTGGGCGGCAGAGGAGGACCTGCTCTCTCATATCCATTTAATTTAGGCCTATTTATGTTTGAATGCTAATCAGTTCACACTTCAACAGAGAAATTCTTTCCTAACAAATCAACAAGATGACAACAGATGACATCTTTAATTATTTACTTGTAAAGACTTGAGTATGTTTGCCATGAAAAATAGGCTTAGTTCAGCTGAAATGCAGACACAATAAAAGGCTAATTAAAATGTTTTCAGTCCCCAATGCTTGGCTACAAGCAGATGTATTATAACAAGGATTACAGATGCTGTTGTAAGCGTGCGCATGTATGTTTGAAAATGAGTGCCAAAGATAGTACAAGTGTATTATGAACTTGTTAGATAATAGGATTGTATTTACTCTAAACAACTGACTGTAACAAGTTAGGTGATTTCGCCGGCAAATACTAAGCCCTACAGCCGTTGCACACACTCAGATTACACACTGACAAACACACACTTGCATGCTTACCCCATCTACTCCCACACACACACACACACACACACACACACACACACACACACACACACACACACACACACACACACACACACACACACACACACACACACACACACACACACACACACACACACACACACACACACACACACACACACACACACACACACACACACAAAACAAATAAAACATTTAATCTACCGTAGGCAAAACAAATTAAATCTGCTAATTTCACAGTCGAGTGAGGAAACAAAATGCTTAAATGTGCAGAAATTGTCGCTTACACTGCATAAGAAGAAATTTAGTAGAAGCCCTACAGGATGCCTGTTGGTTGAGACAACACTACGATAGGCATGCAAATGCAAATGCAGTGTGTGTGTGTGTGTGTGTGTGTGTGTGTGTGTGTGTGTGTGTGTGTGCAGAGTGTGTGTGTGTGTGAATAGAGATTCATTTCTATGCTGACTGCTGTGGTCAGTCGACATGGAAACTTTCAGAGAGCACTCTGGGTAATAATTATGTGGTATAATTGGGTTTTCGGAGAGATAAACTGCGTTGCTGACTGATGGGGGAAACAAAATGTTCAGCCTGTGCTTGTCTGTGTACACATAAATATTCAATGTGCTCACTTTGTGAGATGTTGCATTGGGGGAGGGGAGTTACAAAGGCTAGACACACACACACAAGTATACAAGGTCAGGGAAAAGAGAACCAGTTTCAACAAATATTCAAGCCTGACATACAGCAAAAAGAAAATAATCAAGGGAAAGTTGTGAGAAAACATTGCTGAAAATAAGAAGAAATATCCTTGACCTACGGCATTCACATGCAGGAAATGAAAAGATAGCTTTTTCTTTAAAGTTTGAAAATGTGATGAGAATTTTCTTCCGTCACTATAGTCTTTTTTATATATTGTTGATTTAATGACTTTAAGTGAAAGTAACCTGTGCTCTTTAACGTCAAAGAGATACCTCCCGACACAACAGCACTTGCATTTGGCTAACTTTGCTGCATTGAGCATCAGCTTAAGGTTAAAACTCATATATTTTACACAACAAAACATATATTAACTGCATCTACATTTTGAATTACATAACAATTTATGGTTTTTGATATATTTGTATTTGTATATTTAGGAATTAGGAATGGAATTTTTTATATTCATTTATTAATTGAATGGGACAATTTTAAAGGCAAATTATTTTATTTTATTTTCAGGATACAGTATGTTATGTCTTCCTCATCCTGGCACAGACACAAAATACCTATTAGTCTAATTGCATACAGTAGGTGGCTGTACTAATCGTCATGAATTAAAAACAAGTTTAGCAAACTCAAATTAAATGTTAAGAATGTGTACCCATCTAAAATATGTCTTTAAATCATGCCTTTACTTATGCTGCTATTGAATGGAAATAAATTCCATCTCAAATACCTTGTTGCATCCCATTTTAGCAGTCCTTAAATTATTTTTGGGAAACAGAATGGCGTGACAGTATGGTGAGCTCAAGCCTTAACGGTTGGCTCCCACATGAATGTTTAAACGACCCAAGGCTCCAGAGGACCAGTTAGGTCTGAGAAACAATGGGCTTTTTGTATATTTTGATGCTTTGCTGAATATTTGTATATTTTTGCTTAGGGTTTGTTCCTGTATAAAACCTTTTATTTCTACAGAAAAAGGATTACGGATGTAAATGAGAGAAAATAATGTTGCATGTGCAAGGAGCATATTTTTGTGAAATATTGATCCCAAGTTGAATATCTGAAGTATTGTCACTACTCAGACTTGACATACAGTCATTTGAAGGTAATGTATCTTGTGTTCTGTGTCTCTTTTTCTCACTTGCTTTATGCTGTTAACATTCAAACCTAAAGAGGCAAACATATTCAGTACTTACATCTGGAATATTCAGTACCGGCTACTATAGTAGCTGACCATAAAGACGGACAACAAAAGAGCATTAGCATCTACTTTGAGGGCAATAAACTTGTCAGAACATAAGATTGATTTGCTCATTTACTACACAGCAGAGACGTGGTGCATTCTCTGAATGCTAAGCTACCTTAGGTAACCTGTCCGCAACAGCAGCTATGTTAAGGTTAAAGCACTTGTTATTGCCAAATGGAGACCCCACCCACATAAACACACACACACATTCCCTCTCAAAAATATTTTTCTCAACCTGAAGATGGCTATGGTCCTAAAGAAATGTACACAAGTGATGCCTATAACAGGTGTCTGCAAGCCTGCTTCTTCTTTTGTATAGGCAACACACTCTTATATCCATATATCTCTGTTAGTTCTTCAAATATCTATCCCATGTCATTCTTCTGGATTCCATTATATTGTTTGTGTATTTTAAGTGTTTGTTTGTGTGTTCTGACATGTGTTTTTGCATGCATGTTCATTATTTTCCGCTCACCTTAAAGACCAATTCCCCCATCAGTCCGTTCCATTGCCCGTCAGGCTGCAAACTGCCGTATTTATGGTCTGGAGCGACGTAGATCTCATACTTAAAGCCCAGGTAGTCGGACAGAGCATCCAGGACGTCAATGGAATAGCCTTGGTACTTCTTCGGTTTTCCCAGAACGTTCTCTGACACCATTACAAACGGCTCCTCCTGGAAGGCAAAGATCAATCCGTGTCAGTGAGTCAGTCAAGCAGCCGATCAATACACCACTCGTTCAAGCATTAAATCACCCAATTACTCAAGTGGCCATTATACCACCACAAATGCTCATTTTAAAGCATGGTAGAACTTCTGAAAGAGCCTACATTACACATACATTACAAAAAGGTCATGATCAACACACTATTTGAACAATTGTAGGTCAACAAACATCAGTTAAATGCCTGTATGGTGAAAGTATATTTTACAGCATTACTGTTGTCAAAGAAAAAAAAACGGTTAAATACATATCCTGCCTCTGACAAATCAAAGTCTGTTCTGTTTTAAGACCTGCATGTTTTACATCCGCTCAGTCTGGTTCCTATTCCCTTTTACTGACCCACTATTACCCTTGAAAGCCTTGCCCTACTCTTGATATGCATTACCATCCTAAGTATTTGGGTGCAAATGGGATTTGTCACCCCTCTGACACGTGAAATGTCATAGCCAGGGTGAAATCTCACTCCTGCGGGCGTTATATGCATCACATCCCCCTCTGTTGTGGCACCAATGGCTGTCCTTTATACATTATGGAGCACTAAGAGCATTGGGACCCATTAAAATATTTCTCTAAAGTTGCTCAGTTTAACAAGAATTGGAAACTGAAAAAACGAAAATGCCAGCGGTAGCACATTTTCCTTTTAACCAATATGGTGATAAAAAACAGTGTAAGATAAAAAAAAAAGATCTGGCCAGGAATAATTCTGCCTACTGTTGATGTGTTGAAACCAAAACAGATGCAACGACATGAGGTAGTTCTATATCTATTCACCTTTTATTCAAAGAGGGAACTTAATAATGTATTTAAATATAACCTATCAAACCTTTTCAAGTGAATTATAATGTTGAAATCAATAATTGCCTCGTGCATTTCAGCAGATTTGTTTTTTATTGGTTCATTTTGCAATGCACTTGGGATAGCTGAACCTCCCGTTCATCAATATCTCCATGGCATCTAAAGGGCAGCGTCCTGTAGAGGCTAAATGACATCCAACAATGCTGACAAACACTGGTATTAAATGAACACAGCACAGGGAGAAACCAATGCATTTTCAACAAGAAGAGCAAGATGCTGGAAAAAAAATTGATATTTATATATTTATATACTGTACTAAGATTGAGTGTTTCATTGGAGGAATATTCTCTTCAGCTTCTGTCTAGTATTTTCACTCACCCTTTCTCTCTCGCCCCACTTTTTCTCTCCTCTTTAATACATCCCTATTGATGAGTGAAATGTTTCAGGCCAATATGTCCTGCGGATTTATGAGGGCCTGCATGTTATTGACTGGATACTGGCTGCACATTAAGCATACATACATTCACACACACACGCACACACATACACTCACACACACAAGCTGTCAACATTAACATGGCGGTTTCTAATCCTTGCTAGGTGCTGCTGTTCAATAAGCTATTAGTCAGTGAGTGGACATGCATGCCAAGTCCCTATCTCACCTCAAGCATCCATCCACCAAGGCAGGAACACCAACTAGCCCACACACTTACATACTTAGTAATCCCCCCAAATACTTCCAAATACACTGCTGATTGTTGGTGAATGTTAACACTGGAACATTGTTTCTAAAGTAAACCAGGCATTGAATTGATAAGATTTTTTAAATGTAATTGGTACTATTTTTTCAGCGAACACGTAACATATGAAGTTGTTTAAATATGACCCACACGTTTTTTTCTGCCCTACTATTCAGCTTGTTATGCATATGGTTTACAAGTGAACAGGCTCTGTGATATACAGTGAAAACACACACTAGAACTAAATCAAACATATCCACTGTTTACATGACTGTATGTGTTGCATATACACTTGCACGCCCACTGGAGTTTGCTTGCTAACAATGGCACACACCACAAATAGCAGCTGCAAATCAATGCAAAGCAAGAAACTGCATGTACGCAGCTCTGAGTCTGTGTATATGCGTGGTCAAGAGTTTCAAAGTAGTTTAAGCATGATTGGCATTTTATCTCATTAAGGTGAATTGTAGGTATAGGAATATGACACAGAGATGCATACAAAAAAACATATGTCACTCAAGTGTCAAACAATGTTTATAGAACAGCTATATGTTCTCTGACAAGTGGATAGGCTTCGTCACTGATGCCATTTGAAGTTGGCAGGACAGAACATGATAGTTCTCTCTTTCACTCAGGCATCTACGTTAACCTTCTGACTAGTTGAACATACAACTTGTTGAATTGTAACTTGTGTTTCCTTCTCTCTTTCTCACATGTTATGATGTATAGGGATTAACAGGTCCTCTGTCTCTGGTTTTAGTGCAGCGCTTGTCAGTCACTGGTTTCTTTTGTTGATCAATGTCTGCCTTTTTCATTCTTCCTATGTATTCCCGAGCATCGCCTATATTTTCTGTAGTTGCTTCTTGCCATGGTCTCTTGCCTTCTGCTTCACTCGCTTGCAATAGATTGATATCATTCAAGAAAAATCCCCTTCTAAGATGTATTCTGGGTATGTGATGTTAATCTGTGGTTCTTGTTCTCTCTCTCACTTTGTTGTTATTTTCCAGTCTGTTTTTTCTCCCTGCCACTGACCAGCTGTTTGATATACACCATTTGGCATCTTTCCACAACCCAACGTCTCCATCTTTATCAAAACATTATGTCTAGGACACCTTTTCTCCCTCCATCAATCTATCCATACGTTGAAGATGGATAACATCACTTCTTCTATCCCCTCTTTGTCTTAACGATATTGCTCCCATCTCTCATTCGCCTCATCCCTCCTCCTAGTACCTTTCCTTCACTCTCATACCTTTGGCACAAGTTAATCCCATCTCCTCTCCCCTGAAAGTACAACATGTTGTCTTCATGTTGCAAGGAGGTTTTTGACACATGATTGGGAAACACATTTTTTTAAAGTAATGGCAGAGGATTCCTCTTACGAAATGCCTGGCATGAAAGTGTCATGTGGTGAGGTGTAGCAGTGAGCATCCCCAAAACACTGTTTTGACTGGCCCCGAAATTCGAGTAAGATGTATTTTGTGAAAACCTTGCCAGTCTCTGCAGAACATTAGGTTCTGTTCTAAAATACATTTCCCCTCTGTCTCTGTTTGGTAAGGATGGAGGATATGTTTGAAAAAGCAACAAAGAAGCAGTGCAGTACGTTGTGAAGGTGATTAATTTATTCTTACTCTTGTTTTTCTGTCATATCTTTACTGTTGCTATCTAATGAGGGTGTACCCCATAATATAATTACTTACTGAATGTCTAAAACAATTGAGTGGAACCTTATCAATCATCATTTATCATGATGATCAATCACCCCCAGTCTCTACAACACTTGAGGCACCAATTTATCTTTAATTCTATTTAGTGGTTACTGTGTGCCTTATCATCTTCTAAAGTAAAACGTCAGGTTCATTTGGGGAGACACCGAGCAGTCTTTCCTTATTTCCAAAAATGTAATCTAAAGTTAATAAGGGACACGCTCTGCCTTTTGCTGCGTTTGAGCTGCAATATACTGTATATTCCCAGTTTGCTTCTATGAATGTGGAGTAGAGCCAAAGAAAGGAGGCTGAACACTCGAAAGCTGAGAGTATAATGAAAACATCTGCAAAAGATGAAACTCAGCAGGTGAATCTCACCAAATTAGGAACATATGCAAATCAGTGATTGGTTATTTAAAGCTGTCTGATTTTGCACTTTCAGAGTGTTACATCGGAAGAAAGTCAACTTTTGATCAACGTTTCAAAGCTTCAAATTATATTCGGTCCCATTTGTGACCTGACTTTAAACTTTACCAAGCCCTGAAGGAACCATGGACACATAATTATAGTGATGTAGCCATTCCTTGGTAACATCCATTTAATAATCGCTATAGCTCTAGCCATTCAATAGCATTGATTTAGAGTCATTGGCCCTAATAGTGGCACAATCTCCTCGCCAATTGACTAATCAATAACTATTCAACCGTCTGAAAGACAGAATACGACAAACACATAATTTTAGAGGTTATTGTAAGGAATGACCCCCCACAAATAGAATATAAAAAGGTAGAAAAGACGATATCAGCTGTACAGTACTACATCTGTAGAAGCTACCTTACCCCAATGATGGGAAAAAGGGGCGACAGTCAACAACACAATCCTTATTCTTTGATATTAGGATGATGAAAACAAAGACTTTTAAAAAAGGGATTGCCACAAAGATGTCTAGAATGATCTCTTTCTTCTCTGCCTCTCACTTCAAAGATGGGATATGAAGAATATACAGCAGTAAATCTTTAAAGTACTCATGGGATGTACTCAAATCGATGCTGCGGGCGAGACAGAAAGAGCTGTAGTCCCACTATCATCAAGACTCCATTGTTCTCTATCATCTAGCTGTCAAATGTCAGAATGGAAGTTAATTAAATAATGATGGCTTGGTCCATTAGTGAGCTCATCCTGTGTGTTTGCCTTTTCTGACACCTTGCTTTCATTTCAACACTTTGTCTCATAAATGTTTGTCAGCCATTTTCCTTCTCTCACACAAGCTCTCAGTCTGTCGCTCGATACATCTCCACAGAGACCGAGATGATTGATGGGCATAGAACTAGACAAAAGGACGGATTTACAATAGAGCAGAAGGCTGAAATCTGACATGCCAGCAGTAGTCGCAACAGTCTGTCTTTGATTGTTCTGAGTTAACAGCAGGACCATTTTCAAACAGGGAAACAGGTCTTTTTATGAATGGCCAATTGGAAATCACAGAATGATAAAGGAAAAATACATACAAGGAAAAGCACAGGTGAGCAATACTCACCAGGACAGTGACGACTCGTAGCACCACTCCTCTCATGTTATTTTCCAATTTCCTGTCTGTCAGGGTGCCGTTCAAGCCATGAACTGGATCCCATGTTGCCAGCTGCAATGTGCAAACACACAAACACAAACAAAGAAGTTAGATTCTGAGGCATTGTAGATACCGCAATGGACAACCAACCACATTTTTTGCACAAGATTAACACTGACAATTATTGTCCAGAACACAGCAAGGTTCACCCCTGCACTATGCACTGTTCCTGCAGAAGAGATGCTGATTTTATTCAACATAAAAGTGCTTTTATAAATCTGACCTAGACTCCTAGAGTATGTCTTTCAAATGGCATCATAAACCTTCAGTATTTCATTATTTAAGTCCCAAAGCATATTTTCTTCATCTACATGCTGCCTTCTGCTTTCAATAAAATATTGTTTTTTAGCTATAAAGATCAAACTAGTCTTGTTTCCCTGTTGAGAGAAAGGTAGGGGGGGGGAAGAAAGTGATTTAGCTGTCTGCCATCCAAAGACAACAAAAACCCCAACCATACACAAGCCCTGTGATACACATAACATTGCATGGCCTGATTTGTGCTTAGAAGAAAACACAAACACATCAGAGAAGCAGAGGGCATGGTGCAGGGGGAAATATGGGATGATCCATTTCACTAAAGCCTGGAGTTATTGTGCAATGTGCAATGTTCTGCCAATTCTTATCAATTCCGTTTTGGGACCAACACCACAGTGAAGATTAGCTAAACTGGTTTCTTTGATATACTCTGCCATCAACATTTCATATCCTGTTTGAAGCATTCTGACAGAATAGAAAGCAACAGTGTAACTCACTCCACTGGTAGAATTGAGTTCCTTTGAGTGTTGGAGCAGGCTTTTGCATTAGAGGGAACTGTTGGACAACAGTTTGACAGGACTGAGGTTGACCAACAGGCAACAGGGAGGGATTCCCTGATATTGTTTTTCACACCTTACACACTCAAACTGTAGAAGTGGGCCTCACACAAACACACAGACATACAACTAATGTTCCTGTTTCACCTGTTAAGCTCGGAGAATGTTAAGCATTCATTGGACTTGCATTGGTAGATTACACTAAGTGACCCGCCATCATTTCCAGCACAGTTCTGCCCAGTTTGATTTTAAATCCAATCATCCAAAACTGATTTGACCAGTGTATATTTTCAGGGTATTTTTTATACCTCCCCTCAGGACTGATGGCATGCTAGGACGAATTGATCGACACCTCTCTGACTCGCCATTTAGCTTTACTGCACCTGTGGCAGCAGGAAATATTCCACCTATTTGAATACGTTCAATCCCATTACCTCATATAATTCCGAGCATAGCTACACCCAACTTGAATGTGAGTAGAGGTTAAATGAAACAGCTGTGATGGTGTACAGGAATTGTAACTCTCAAAAGTATCTTTAACATAGGTATCATGTCAAACTATTTGTATTATTATTACATCGCTGTGCTTTCAAAAAGTGAGTACACTTTTACCCTGCTTGTCTGTCTGTGTGAATGTATCACAGACTGAAAAACACAGCCAGGTAGAATACATCACATGTAGTGCTAATTTCCGCCTGTAGGGGGAGGTGTGGAGCTTGAATCTGACTCTTCTCTAACACATTCAAAATCAGTATGATATTTTTAGTTTTGTCCTCCAGCATTCACACTTTTTCAATACTTGTTTTTTGAAGATGATACAAAAACGAAGTGTTGTCTTCTCTTCATTAAAAACCCGCTGTCAATACAGCCCTTAGTGTTTGAACATGTGTCAACACCCTCTCGATTCATATATGCTGGCATTAACCCCCACCCATTATTTTTAATTATGGGCTGTGTATATGTGGGTGGAAAATGCAAAAGATAAAAAGGAAACACGTGATAAGGCAGTAAATAACATAAAGTAAAACACACTTAAGGAGAGAGAACCAGAAACAGGGAGAAATCGGGAGTACACAGCAGATGAAGAAGATACTGATACGTGGTGAGCAGCAATGATGAGAGACATTTTAAAAAGGTGAATTTACGGCAAAGCAGCTGTTTTAAGTGCTTGTAAAAAATGTGAAGGCGTATGATCAATAAAACATTAGTGGTGCAGCAAAACGGCAACGAGAAAGACCAATAGCACAAGGGAGGTTCTGCTTTACAATGGTACCTGAACACACCTGCAGCCATGTATGCCCACATAAACGTCCATAAAAACGGATTCAGGCGCATGTTAGTATAGATGTGCACATAAAAGAAATAGAGCAAAGGCCAAAATAATGTGGTCTTAAAAAGGGAAAAACAAATCACAAATGATGCAGAAAATACATTTTCTTCAGCGACCTCTTTTATCAGTATCAATCGTCCACTCAAAGAGCTTTAATAAAAACATGACATGTTCTGACAGGTGTGAATCTCAACTCTGGCGAGGTGATGATTTTTACAACTATACCCTAGCTCAGAACAGACTTGACATTAACATGCATCGCGAGATATCTGATCGTAGGAGGGCAGCTGTCGGTACAATAGTTCACACCTGACATTAGAATGCTTCTACACATGCTTTTGTTAGTGATCACTTGTAATTGTATCTCACCTCTCCTCTGCTCTGCTATATATGTGTGTGTGCATGTGTGTAAAACATTGTGTGAGGGCAGGGCACTAAACAAGCAACATGCAGGGACAAGGATGCAACACACACACACACACACACACACACACACACACACACACACACACACACACACACACACACACACACACACACACACATTTTGAAGAAAGGTTCTTTTAGTACAGTAATACTGTGCATAAATGTATTAAACCACAGAAAAAGAGAGAAACAAATTATATATTGCACGTATCTGATAGATATTATCTTACTTTTCTGACGGAGAGTCACCATGAAAACACAGTCCTCGAGTGGGAACAGGGGAAGTGTTTTTAATTTACAGTTAAAAAAAGTTTAGATCAATCAAGCACGACCAACACAAATTGAAATGGTGTTGTATAGCATTCTGGGCTTCCCCCTCGGCGACATTTGGTTGTTTACTTTCTAGAGTCTTGACCCTTGTCTTAGATTTGGTGGCTTAACAGCAAAGCCCTGTGAAAAAGGTAATGAACAGTGAAATGTACAGTAAGCAATTGAACCTTGGCAAACACACCTGCCAAAGCACGTTGTATTCCAGGCTTGCACTAAGCTGTTTACCAATATGGCACTGAGCCCCAACCCTTATATTGCAAGAAAGTGTGAATAGTGCAGATAAGATTTACAGATAAGACAACATAAGACAAAATCAAAACAATGTTTGTTCTTTTTATCAGTGTTTCCTGTACTACCTCTATAAGACAAATATTGCCTTCTGCTGCCATGTTACCCTTAAGCAAGGCACTTAATATTGATTCCTCTTGACTGCGTTAATAACAACAGTTCTTATGACAGACTACTTTGAAAACAATGTTGATCTGTTATACATGTTGCTCCAGTTAACAGTCAATAAAGTCAACATCGGTTTTAGCCTTCGTTATGGGCTAAATCTTGTTAGGACTGTATCTTGTGGCTGTGAAAGAGAATGTATAGAACATTTAAGAAACAATGAACAGTCTGCAATGGCCTGTAATGGAAGGAGTCTGTGCTGCAATTCCCACAGTGTTTAAACATTAGTCAATATGATGCGGAGCAACACATCAATCAACATTGTCAAGCCCCACAGTATTCACAGAGGCTATCAATCAGCGGCAGGCTTTGTATGCAACTGCAATGCAAATACACACCTTCACACACATTATGCATTAAAGGCAAATTGAGTTAAACTCCCCCGCTCGCACTATGGATTGACCATGATGCATTATGGATTTTGAATAGTATGATTAAATGACTTAATGAGCCATTTCCCAGCAACTGAGATTTGTGTTTTTAAAGGCTCAGTTTCTGGAATTAAGGCGGATGAGAGTTAAATTATCCTGGGTTATGGTATTCTACTGTATTAAAACGTGTCTTCTTGGTTTAAATACCTTTATCTGTGCATTTATTTGTGGGGCACATGACTATTTGAAATGCCAATTTGGTTAAATTCCCCTTTGTTTTCAATGTCTTTTAACTATCATAAGATTGATAGTAATTGTTTATTTTCTGGTTGAAACGTTGTATCTCTGTAATAACTACAATGAATAAAATACTAGGTAGGAATATAGACACTGGGATTCACTGGCCATATAACTAACAACTATCATCCGGCAAAAATATACTGTACATTATATTAAATATAATAATTATTATGTATTGGTATATTTCTCATTTTACCCAATTGCTTGACACCTGTCAATATGCTGCAATGTTTCCGTCCCTCCTTTAATTCCATGTGACATTTTTCTCAAATATATGTAGATTTTTCAGACCACCTAACATGAGTAGATGAGGAACAGATCAGTAAATTGGAACTAAAATAACCTTTTTTGCAAGTGTTTGTGCTAAAATATCCAAATACCACTATTTCTTATGTTAATCACATTGTTTTTACTTTTACATAACAGTGTGAAGGCAGCTTTGTGTGTGAGTCAGGACCTAAAATGGCAGCCTGGCTGCAGAGTGGCCCACTGCTTCTGCTTATCTCCACAGCTCCAGATAAGGGCTCATTTCCCCCCCGACAGTATGAAATAAATGTGCATTTGTGGGGGTGTGCATGTGTGCATGTTAAGTGAATGGCCCACTGTGCCTAGACCGTTACCATGAAGACTGAGGCTTCAAAACATTACCATTAGCAACCCACTACGCTTTCCCCACTATTTATCTAAGACTTTCTCGATTCTTCTATCTTTGCTTCCCTCTGTTGCTCATTTACTGCTTTCAATTCCGTTTTTCTTTATGCTTTGGACACGAGTTCTCCCTGTTTCTCTAACTCATGACACATACTGTAGGTCTTTCTCATCTTAACACTATGTTCTCTGCAACACTTGCTTAAATCCCTTGAATCAGACCGACACACTCTTGTGTGCATGCACCCAGCACAAACATAGTTAGAAGCAAACCGTTAGGACCCATACTTTGGCCCAGTATTCAGTATATTAGTATTAAGAGCAAACCTTGTAGTTTAGCTA